GGTTGCTCTCTTACTATTTTTATATCTCCCTCAGGGTCCCATTCACTTAGAGTCTTCTTCAATGCCTGCTTAGAAATGGGCCACTGTGGGTTTTTATTTCTTATAGGGGAAACAAGAAACATGTTTCTCTACTGATGCAAAGAGAGGAAAAGGACAGGCTGAAGATAGAGATAACAGAGAAAATACAGACTATTACAGGGATTACTGAAGTCAAATAAAGATACAACCTAAGGCCAGTGAAAGAAAGTTGCCTGTGCACTTGAGAAGCATGTGTGTCCAGCTGTTGTTGAGGGTGGTGGGCGATACTTGTCATTAGAGACGGTCCCTTCTAACAAGTATCCTCTGCTTATAGGAAAGCAGACTTCAGGAGGGGACTAAAGAGGGCGCCTCTGTTGTTGAGAGGTATCCTGGCTAGATAACTCTCCTGATAGAGAGGAAGGAAAGAGTTCTAAGTCTTCACTCTCATCCTTTTCTCTGGCTGTTAGCCCACCTACAATTGTCGTGTTCTTTTAACTGGACATGTATGTATGTATGTTCTTTTCAGAAAAGAGTGAGGATTCAAGGGTGTACAAGGAGGCTTTGCAGATGAATTTTTTTCTTATATAACAGCAATATGATATCAATTTTCTATTGGTACTTGTCATAAAAATTAAAATTCTCCCTAGGAATTTAAATGCATAATTTATTATGAAACATGGCTCAATTAACTAACAGTATCCTTTAGGCAATATACATTGTCTTGCTTTAGTATTTTTTTTCTGAAACAGGTTATTGTTTTGTAGTTCAGACTGTCCCTAAGCTCACTGTGCAGCCCAGGCTAGCCTTGAATTCATGGTGATCTTTCTGCCTCAGCTTCCCAAAAGCTGGGATTATGATGTCTTACTTCATTTTAACAATACTTTTCCTTCTTGTATTTTTATCTTCTCCCTGCAGAATTAATCTCAGGTTATTGATGAAGATGTGTAAAAAAGGTTATTTTTACAAGGAACTGGCTCATCTGATCACTGAGACTGAGAAGTTCACAAATCGCCTCTGTAAGCAGGAGACCAGGAGGGTCAGCGGAGAAAAATCTGCTCAAGTTTGAAGGTCTGAGAATTAGATGAGTTGATGGTGTAGATTTCCGTACAAAGACAGTGGAAGATGAAATGAGAGGAGAAAATGTCCCATGGTGAGCAGCCAGGTAGAAAAGGGGGTCTTGTCCTCCATCTTTTGCTCTACCCAGGCCCCAACGGCGCTGCATGGTGGCCACCATGTTGGAGTGGGCAGTCTCTTTTACTCAGTCCTCGAGTTCAGATGCCAACCACTTCTGGGAACTCCCTTACAGCATTCTCAGAGCTAATTTTTAATTTAGACACCTGGGGGCCCAGGCACATAAATTAACTATAGTGACTGAATAGAGTCATCATTCATACAATCACATAATTAATATTTCTAATGCTTGTATTGTATAACAAACCTTATTTCATGTTTTATGTTCTGCTTGTCCTAGATTTGTAAATGGTTTTAGAAAACAAGTGAAAATAAAAAGAAACAAGTTAAGAGGGAACTGGAGGGGCTGGGAGTCTAACTCGAGTCTCTGGTAACCCCACCCCTAGAAGGGTAAGTGGAGAATGAGATAGAAAGGATGAGGAAAAAATTGGCTAACTTCACAGTCAGTGTTTTGCCCTCATGCTCCAGTGATGAGCCCTTAAATATTAACACCGCCACCTATGCACATAAAAGTTTAAAACCTAACTGCCATTTAGATGGTATGATTGAAAGGGGTGCTAAGCATTGGCCATCAATGCTGGACCCCTCCTCCCTCCACGTTCACATCCCGTCACTCGGTCTTGCCAGGCTGGGATGGTAGCGATCACACTTTCCAGGCTTCCAGGGTTGGATTCCTCTGGAATGCACACTTGTATGAGATCTGGAAGGAAACAGGGAGGGTCAGAGCCTAACTTCTCTTTAGGAGTGCAGGGGAAGAGTTCTGAGGACAGACCTAAGCCAGCAGCCTCTGAGCGCCATGTCCCTGGCTGTCTCCTGTGTGTGTGGCGCGGCGGAGTTCTGGCATGGTGCTCAAGAGCTCCTAGCTCCCTGGTGGCCTTAGCTGTTTATCTCTCCTTTGGAAAGATTGTCTTGGTTGCTTTCCTCATCACTGGGACAAAAATGCACGAAGTTTGCAGCTTAAAGGTGGAGAGGTTTAGTTTGGCTCAAGTCTCAGTTTCTGTTCTCGCTGGGTCAGCAGTCTGAGGAGGAGAGCTGCTCACCTAATATCCAGGAAGCTGAGGGTGAAGGAAGGAGCTGCCGAGGGGAAGAAACCCTTCCAGGTCCCACTCAGAGACAGTGGCTTCCAACTACACTCTACCTTCTAACAGCAAGTCAGCTTAGCATTGCCATAGTGCAGTCTTGGTCTAAAGGCCCCATCTATCAGAGCATGAGACCCTTGGGGGACAGCTAGACACAAACCATAATAGACAGGGTCTGTCACTTTGAAACCACAAGCTTAGCATTGACCCTCTAATTCCTATTCCTCAAGCCCTTTCAATGGCTTGTGGGTACCAAATTCCCTGCATGTAAGGTTTGGACATAGTTTTTATAAGCTGGACAGGGAGCACCCCCAGGGATTTGTGTGTGGGAAGTTGGGCTGCAGTGTGGTGCGGTCAGGGAGAGAGAGGGAAGAGGCGGGCCCTGGTGGGAGGTTGCTAGGTGACATGGTAGGACACTTGGAAAGGGTTTGGGTATTTTCATGGAACCCTGAGCAGGTTCTCAGAGGAGCAAGCTGCTGTAAAAGCCTGACTCCTGAGTGTTCTCTGATCTCCCATCTGATGACATGACCTCTGTCACACACATAACATTGTGCTGTCACCTGGCACGAAGTCCTCACCAGAGCTGAGCTGAGGCAAAAGCCATGCCTCTGAATGCACAAAAATATGAGCTAACTAAACCCTTATTCTGCATAAACTTACTTAGCTTTTCTCAGGAGAGGGCCAGCTGGTAAATAATTCAGACTTTTCAGGCCATCAGATTTTACTGTAATGATTCAGCCCTGCTGCTATGGAAAGAGGACAAGCCATCGTCCATAATAACTGCATGTGTGTGGTCCCCTCCCAATAAAGTTTTATTTAAATAAGTCACATTTGAATTTCATGTAGTTCTCATGTCATGAACTATTGCTCTACTTTCAAATTCTGCCAACCATTTAAACATGTAGAAACTACTGTGGCCTGTATGCAGGCCTTATGGAAACAGGCTGGAAGAATCTGCAGACCCCTGAGATAGAGGGAGAAGGAAAAGGACGGGGAGATAAGTGACTATGGGACAGCATCGTATTGGTGTGTTGTTTGTACCGGGGTAGGCTGGATTATGCTCAGATAGCAGACAACCTCAACATCTCAGTAATTTACAACAACAAAAGAATACTCGTCACTCACAATGTAGTGCTCTGTGTGTTGACTACCGTCTGCTCCAGGTGGTTTTTTGCTTAAATCCTGGAATTCATGCTAAGAGGGTGGGCTTCAACAGAAGCACTGCTGGATCTGCACCAACAGAAGCCTCAATCACCTCATTGGTTAATTTGTCTCCTTGAAACAGTGTGGAGGCTTCCAGGGTCCATCCTCAACAGGTTCAGAATCTGAAGCTGGCTCATTAGGCTCCATGAAGTGAGCGGCATTTCGATAATTCAGGATGCCTGTGTCTGTCTGCTTCGCTTTTGAAATAATTTAAGGTAACATTTTTCAAATTTGCTTAGAAATTTATTTTTAAATCTTTTCCCCCAATCTGCATTTGAATTTTCTGCTTTAGCTGTATGGATTAGCTGTGTGGATTAAGAAGTCATAAGAAACAGGAGTAGGAAAGTTCACAGTTTCCAAGTACATGATTGTGACATGTGGTTATATAAAAGAAGTCAAAGCTAAGATTTCAGGGAGGCCTGCGGGTTAGCTCAGTTGTTTAAGCACCTGCTTGGGCAAGTTCAGTCAGCCACAGCAGACCACGGTTTGATCCCTAGCTCCACAAGCCTGACCAGAACTGCCCTTAAGGCAGCCTGAGCCAGCATTCCCTTCCACCCCACCCCTCCCCCCCAAAAAAGCTAAGATTTCAGTTGTGCCCACTGGATTCATTTCTCATCAAGCCAATCCTAAATTGCCATGTATTCCTGAAGGGGCTGTATAAATTTAGTTTTCTCTGGATATAACAGATTGGGACACAGTAATTTTTATCTCTTCTGCCTATTGGATTTATTCTGCGGATCTACTAGGTATCAAGTGCCACATTAAAGGTATTCTGGCCACCAGTTTCCATGCAATTGATGTATTTCATCGATTCATGCATTTTAATTTGATCAGTGTGATTCTATATGGATGAGGACCTAGGGGTTTACATGTACAAGAAGATACATCCTCAGGTATGCAGAGTCATGCTACAGACTTTCACGAGCTTCTCTATTTTCACACTTAGATTGCTAGGTGAGGTCAAAGTGAAACGTTAATTCCATTTAGCTTTATGGAATAATCTGCCATTTCTTTCCTGAATAGTTTCCAATTATTCCACTTTTTTCCTCTAAGATCTATGGAGCAAGCTAAGCACTCTTTTCCCTCCAATTTCATAGTGTATTTGAAGGAGCTTTGTAAGTGACGGTGTGAGATGAGAAAGCCCCAAGAATGACAAAGGTCAGTGTCTTGAACCACAGATGGGACTTGCTAAATTATTTAGGGAATGCAGCTGTCATGTTTATGTAAGAGAAAGTGACACTGAGAGACGATATTTTTCAAGGTAATAATTTAGATTTATTTTTAAAAAGAATAAGAGTTCTCTTGTTGATTTTATAAGAGAAAAGCCAACAGTCAGCCATTTCTTTGGCTAATTCATGCAGTCCTCCAGCAAAACTTAAGCCCGGGTTACTTTGGTAGGATTTAAAGTAGTAAGACATATGTGAATAAAATGATATTAGGTCTGTGTAATTCAGAATAATAAAATAAAGATTAAGATGGTAATATGTCCCTCAAGTACTGGTATTTAAACTTTAAAAATCAATCAAGAGAGAAGATTAAGTGGTGTTTCTTTGGTACTAAAAATGTAAAGCTAAGACCAAATTGTTCTATTTTCACAGATTTAAGATACAAAGAATGATATTTAAAGACATTAGAATGACTATTACATTCTCTTCAGTTTGTAAAGAATCTCCAATGAAGTACACTTAGAAGAAATCCCTGAGTATATTAAATACTCTATTAGTATCTTCCTTCATAAACAAAGAAGAACAATTTAAAAGCTTTGCCAGATATCAACAGAGCACTTAGCAAAGGCAGCGTCATTTATCAGGCTCCCTCTGCAGTGTTGCTAAATCAGATATTACATGTTTTGCTTAACAGCAGAAACTACAGAGTCACAAAATTAAGACACGATATTTGAACACATTAACCATTGTTTGGTAAGTCAAAAAACCACTGCCTTATGGCATCTCTATTTTGCTTTAGCCACTCAATATTGTTTTGCACTGTCTCGAGGACTTGCTCTCTAGGTGTTTCTCCTGCTCCGGCTTCTGGATATTTTGCAAAAAAGCTCTTCATCTAGAAAAGAGAAGGCAACAATTAAGAACGTTGTGTTAAATCCGGTTATTCACCTTCAAGAGTTTCACTTACAAAGTGGATCTACTTCCTTTTATATGGAAATTCTGCCTCCCCACACCTTCAGATGGAGCCCATGTCTCAGAGGAGCCATCATGGTGGATGCTGGAACAGCTTCTCAAGCTAAAGGAAGCTCTAACCAGAGAGAGAAGGAAGGCCGAATGCCGGCGCCTGGCACAGCCATTTCTACAATTTCTCTATGTCCTCTGTGTTCTCTGAAAAGCACAGCCTGTGGAATGATGGCTTTGCCTACCTTTCCTTCCCAGGAGTCTGGAGTACTTTAATATTCCAGGTCACTTTTTAAAGATGAATAAAAAACTTCTTTCCGCTGGTTCTACCCTCCTTTCTGTCCTCCAAAACTCTTCTCAAGCCCACTCATAGTATTTTTTGCCAGTTACGGAAATAACAATTATTTTATCTCTTCACAGATGCAAGAATCTTAATTTATTTCAATATCTAACCAATATCAAATTTCAGGCACTCTCCATTTGTCCAACATAGATGGACATGTTTCCTCCTCAGGAATTCAGGTTTGAAATTTGTTTGGAAATTCCAGAATTTTGAGCTTTGAGTGAAATCAACTCTTGAAGACCTTATTCCAAAGCTATGACTGCCAGGCAAGGGGAGACACTGAGTTCACATGTTAGCTCACCAGTCTCCAAGTATCCCCAGTGGTTGCCTTCTCCAGCTCTAAAATTTAGTTTCTTGCTCATTTGATTTTTTTTTTTCAGTTTAGAAACAATAGATATGTCTTTATTAGGTAAAAGAATGATTTGTTTCTCATTGTTGTTGTCTGGGATCTGAATAGAGCAAGCAGCATTTCTGTTTGAAAAACAATGTGATATGTTTCCTTCTAGACAAGTAGATAGGATTTCTCCTCATACCTCCCAGAGCTGCAGCTCGGTGTTGAATGGCTCTGCTATCGTGACGATCCGGCCCAGGTTTCTGTCATTGATCGTAAATCTGAAAAGAAATATAGAGGCATGAAAGGAAGCATAAGCGCCAGGAGTCTTACATTTCTTTCTAGATGCAAACACTTCTTTTTTTAGTGTGTGTGTTTAAAGTACTTTTCAAAATAAGCTAAACACAGAAAACACATTTAACTTCACATAATTCCATTCAGGAGAAATCCTTAACAAATTCTGTATTTCTTTTTGTAGACAGATTCAAACCATTTTCTCAGATGTAGAAGACTGTTCATTGGATTCGACAAATATTCTGTGTTTTCCTGCATTGCTGAGCACTTAGCAAGCAATTGGACCTCTGGACTCCCTCTGAGCTGGGGTGGACATGTGGCCCAGTTCTTACAAAGAGAACATGATAGAATTTTAGAGCTGTTGTTCTATTCCTTTTAAAGAACAAGAATTCAAAGTTCTCTTATAGACCATTATGTACACGGGCCTCATCTAGGTACAGATCTAACCACAACCAGTTACAGTGAAAAGAGAGGAACGACAGAAGTGAGTATAAAATTTGGCCACCACAATGTTGTGAAGGAAGACAGGAAAACACATCTAGATATAAAGTAGAAAGAAATTTTATATTCAAAAATTATACAATAGTGAAAGAAAAAGACACTATGAAGATTAAAAACTGATAGTTTGTCTTACACATATTAAAAAGTTTTATACTAAGAAGAACTTCAAATAAATAGTAAAAATTAACTAGCAGGCAATAGTTGGAACACATACAATAAAGAGCAAGTATTTTGACCATATAAAGGTAAAAAAGGAGAAATATACCAATGTGAAATGAGCAAAGCAAAGAACAGCTGCTGGAGGGAAAAGAAAATGTTCTATGCAGTGATCACCTCCGGTCTTGTGCATACCAGGCCCCGAGTCCACTCTCAACACAGGCTCCTTGCAGTGGAAATCAACCTTGCATCACATTTCTAACAGCATCATCCATTATCCAGAATGTGACTCTGAGGCATCAGGTGGCACCGTCTGCCCGGTCAGATCCTTTCGTCCGGCCCCCTAGAGCCGTCCCTTTGTTGGCAGGACCACTTCCCTCAGAGAGGATGCTTGTTTTCCACATCCTTTGCAGCCCCGGTCAAGGCACATGGTCAGGGTACACATGGTCCCCATTGCTGCTCCAAGGCCATCACTCCTCCACCCACTTTAAAAATCCTCTGCTCCTTCTGGGTATCTCCTGGCCTGTACCCTGTGCTTTGGCACTTGCTCCTTTCTCCTTCTTCCATGGAACACCTTCATCTTGGGTGACTTTAAGGTCTTGTGGATGATCAGTCTAATCATGTGTTAGCTCCTTAGTTTCTTGATCTCATTTCTAGTAATATTTTCTGAGCTCCATGTCAGCCACCCCATTCTCATGGCAACTTGCAATCACCTTGAGAAGTAATCTGTGTATGAAATCACACATCTCTGTGATGTAATATATCTTTTAGTTTCCACTCCATGAACTGTTACACTCAATTTAGACTTCTGGCCCATTGCCCATCCCATTTTTTTTTTCTCTGTCTTTGACATCAATGCTTCATTTTTCCACTTGTTTATTGATATAGATCATGATCTAACCATTTTCAGTAACATGTTTGCTCTAGTCCTGAGCTACCTGGCATTTTAATAATGTATGTCTAGCAACACCTCAACTTTAGATGAAATCAATTGCCCATTTTTTCTGAGTTTGAATCAGGTGGTCAAATTCTGGCAAGGGAAGTTATTGAACTTTCCTCATGCTATTTGTTTGTAAGTTCATGGATTTTTTTTTTTTTCCTGTATTTTAAGGAAGGGTCTACAGAGTGTTCAGAGTCTCACTACTAGATCAGACTTGTAGTGATCTGCCTGTTTATAGCCTCCCCAAAGCTGGGATTACAGGCGTGCGCCACCACACCCAGTCTCATTGGCCTTCTCTGTGGGCCCTGGGGGTAGGGCCAGCACAGAAAGTCCAGGGATCGAACCCTTGGCCCCTGAGCCTGCTTGTAGGTGCTTTAACCCGCTGAGCTATTTGGCTGGCCCAAGTTCATGGATTCAAACCTTAAATGGGCCCTCACACTGGTAATCCTTGTCACCTGAGTCACAGCTCCCATTTTTAACCTGTCCTAAATGTTACTGTTGTATCTTCACCTTCATCTCTGTACCCACATTCCAGGCTACCACCATCTTTTACAGGGTCTGTACTGAAGAGCAAACTGCTTTGACCGAATACTCTTTGATACTTCTCTAGGTCTGTTGCTCGCCTTACCACCAGTTTCATTTCAAAATAAAATCAATCATTTTACTTTTGTGTCTGAAAACCTTTAGTGACTTACTCCTTTGAGAATAAAGTCCAACTTTTAATGTGACTCTGTACATTATATATATATATATATATATATATATATATATATAATTAAGTTTATTGGTACATTTTAGATGATCACATTCATCATAAGACATCTGTACCTATACATGATATATTTTGATTTCTCTATTTTTCACAACCCCTTCACCTCCTTTCAGCCCATGTACTCCCTATTGGTAAAGCTTTGTTTCCATTTTATTTATTTATTTACTATGTATGTGGTACAGGGTCTCACTATACAGCTCGGGCTCACAGTGATCCTCCTGTTTTCAGCCTCCCCAGCCCTGGGATTACAGGCGTGCACTGCCATGCCCTGTCTCAGTGGCCTGCTCATCACACCCAGGGGCAGGGCTGGTATAGCATGTGGTGCTGGGGATTGAACCCTGGTCCCTGTGCTTGCCTAACATTTTATCATTTCTTTGATAGGTTTTTTTTCCCTCTTCACTCCTGCTCCTCCTTCAGCTCAAACAACCGTCATTCCCTGAGTGAGGCCTCCACCTCCCTCCACATCTTTTCCCTTGGTTCCTTTCCCCTTTACATCAGCTCAATGCCTCTGAGCCTCTTCTATTGGTAGCTATTATAGTTAAGTATGCACATTTTGACTCTTTGTCTTCCCTTAATGTTGGGCTCCACTACTGCACTCTAAAGCCTTCCAGGACAGAGCACTAGGTGTGTTCCTCCTTGTCCTAGCAGCCTAAGTGCCAGTCATCATGCCTAGCACATAGTACATGCTCCATATAGTTTACTGAGTGAAAGAATTAAAATGAAATGTTAGTTTTTAGCCACTCATCTAACAGGATTTTTTTTTTTTTTAAAGCACTAGAGCCAGGGAGATGGCTCAGTAAAATAAGCGCTTGCCCAGCAAGTGCAAGGACCTGAGTTCAATCCCCAGTTCTGCAAAAATAGAAAAATAAAAAAGCACTGATATTGGAAAGGGTTGGGTAAACAGGCAGTCATTAGTTTTTCTGGATAAATATCAGAAACCTTAAAAATACTTTCTTTAAGCCAGTAGTATTATTTTGAGTGTATCTTTAAAATATTGTCAAGAATATTCACAAAAAACAAAAAGACTCAAATTTAAAGATGTTATTCTTCAATTCATTACTGACAGTGGCACAGGGACAATCTATCATAGATAGAGACTAGTCATGTAAATGAAGACATATCTATACATTAAAATACTACTCGGCCATTGTAAACATTGAAGAAGCTTATTGCAGTCTAGAAGAGAACATGACATAACAGAGACTGTTAGGAATGGGAGAAAAGAGTAAGGGGAGCTGGGTAGGTACACATAACTGAAGAATAATATTTTAATGTGTGAAATGCTATGAAGAAACTCATATCATTCAATTAATATATTCCAGTAATTATGATACAAAGGGAATAGCATAAACACAAAAATAGATTTATACAATATATGGTGTGATATCCAAATAATAGGTGTGATACAAGGCAAATTATAAAATCACATATGCATTTCTATTTCTGTAAAATAAATAAATTAACATCCATAGGAAAATGACTTCAAAACTACTGAAGGTAGAAGTTAGTTCTAGTTATTTTTTTTTTTTGCATGGTCGGTAATTATTTCTATTATTTCTTACCTATGTTTTGTTAAAAAATAGTTTCATACAAGAATGTAGAAATTTTAGAAGAAAAAATACACTAAATTGCTCCAGTAAGATGTAATACATTTTTAATGACCTTATATAATTCTATAATATTTTTCTCTGCTAAAAAGGAATTGAGGAAAAAAATTTAAAAAGGAATTGAGCTGTGCTGTGTGAATGCACCAGTTTCCCACAACATCATATTTATGAACTTCCAATGTATACTAATACAAATGCTAAAAATATTTCTCTTTTCTTTGTTTTTTGTTTTTTGTTTTTTGTTTTTTTTTTTTTTTTTTTTTACATTTTTTGTGATTTACTGAAGCACAAATAAACATGCACACAGGCCGTCTACTCGTTTTCTTCACTGCGCAGCCTGGCATTGGGATTGGTGACTCGGATGGCTAGCTGGGCTGCTCTTTCCACGATGGCCTTGCGGTTCTTAGAGGAGACGTTGTGAGCAGCATCTGCACAGTAAGACTTGTTGCACATCAACAGCACCTCCAGCTCCTTAACATTGTGCACCAGGAACTTCCGGAAGCCACTGGGCAGCATGTGCTTTGTCTTTTTGTTACTTCCATAACCTATGTTGGGCATCAAGATCTGGCCCTTGAACCTCCTCCGCACCCTGTTGTCGATGCCTCTGGGTTTCCGCCAGTTGCGTTTAATTTTGACATATCGGTCTGACTGGTGCCGGATGAACTTCTTGGTCCTCTTTTTGACGATCTTGGGCTTCACGAGGGGTCTGAGGGCCGCCATGGTGCCAAGAGGGAGATGGCTGCCACCTCCGTAGGCAGCGCCGAGGAAGAGCTCTTTTCTTTGTTGTTAGGGACAAAATTAAATGAGGTGCTCGGAAACTAGCAGTGACAGGATGAGGAAAACTTGCAGCTGCCTGTATAAGCACTAGACACGACAAAGCACATTTATCCCAAGAGAAAAAGAAATATATGAAATGTAGAAAATAAAGAGATAGGTTGTGTATTTATCATACTGGTTAATTTAAAAACTAAAAGGATGATTTATTTATCTTAAATAGTTTGAAAATTTGTATAAAAATTATCTTCTTAGACGTAATATTCATGTACATATTAGTATGTTATGAAAAACAAAATCATTTGGGTACGCATAAAAACTTCAGTTAAGTGCTCATGAAATTATTTTATGAGTAGTGTTTAAATTGCTTCAGTCATGTTCGCTAAATCAAATTTACTGACTTGATATTTCTTTCTTTTTTTTTTAATTTAGTACGGGGTCTGCAGGGTATCACTACACAGATCGGACACATAGTGATCCTCCTGTTTTCAGCCTCCCAAGCCCTGGGACTACAGGCGTGTGCCACCACGCCAAGCCTCCAACTTGATATTACATGTACGGTCATCAACCAAAATCAGACTTTGACACACCACGCTATGGCCTCATTGGGTTCAGTCAGTTTCATAGTTTCATCTAAGAGTTTAGTATAAAAAAATAGAAACAGTCAAAGATTTCCAATGAATGTATCCTCGGAACTATGGTTCAGGCTTGAGTTGGCAAAATAGTAGTGGGATGGTGGTCCATTGTAACAAAAGTCATATGACAAAAATTTTATTAAAACTTCAGAGTCCCTGGTTGGTTGGCTGCAAGGCACAAACGGTGATGCAGAAGCGTCTGGGGAAAAAACCTGCTCAAGCCGAGCAGCCCGGAAGTGGAGCATGAAGGAGGAGCCCAGGACAGGAACACAGCTTTCCAGGCCACACCCCCAGTGGCCACCTCCCCCGGGGGTGTACCTCCCAACACAGCAAACTCATCAATGGAAGACTCCACTGATGAGTAGAGGACTCTGTGCTCCGATTACTTTCCAAATGACACTATGGGATGACGGTTTAGATTTAAACCGTAACAACTGTGGAAAAATTCGAAATAGGTGAAAAAGCTACTGAGTGTCTCCAGTAGAAAACTAAGGACAGAACAGAGAGAAGATGCGAGTTGCTGCTCTAGGTAGTAGGTCCCTCAGGACAGTCGTTATCAGCATTGTCTAGGATACCTTTTCAAGATATCTCTTTGTTTTCATTTTGTAATTGTGAAGTTGTAAAAAATTCATACTAAAACAAATGATTTTGTTCATCAAAATGGAAGTGGAATAAAACAAAAAAAAAAAACCCAGATTTTTACTGTTGAGTGACAGTATTACTAATTGTTCAGAAGTAGAAGCAATAAAACTGTGCATCCTGCAATTTAGAAAATGTCCAAGAGTTTGGAAATATTTATATGAAGTGTGTTTCATTTCAGTTTAATTTGGCTTATATAATTTGTCACAGGGAAAATTCTATTTATAGAAACAAAACATGATATTGCTTTTTGTGTAATTGTCAGACATGTTGTTATTATATAATTTTATATTTGGGGCTATCTGAAATAATAGCCATGCTATTATTTTATATTTGGGGCTATCTGAAATAATAACCATGCTATGAAGAAATACTAAATGCCTTGGGCAAGACTTTTGGAAATAGTTCTGGAAATGGTTTATCAATTTATTTTCCTTGAAAAATTCAGTTTATTAGGTCTGATTCATTGTGCGTGCGTGTGTGCGTGTGTGTGTGTGTGTGTGGCCAGCTCAGCCCACCAGGGGGCGGGGCTGGCTGGCATGTGGTACTGGGGGATTGAACCGCAGTCCCTGTGCTTTGCTAAGCTTGTTCCAAGAAGGTGCTTTAGATCACTGAGCCATCTCACCAGCCCTCTGATTCATTTTGTAAAGTCCAGATATTTAAGACTTCCAAGAAAAGGTAAAATTTATGCTTTTGACTTTTTAAAAATTTTAAGGTATAATAATTAATTCATTTGTAAAGATGAAAATTTGTATTGTTTTAAATAAGTCACATAGATCCTATCAAAACAGGCCTTGAAAAATAGTGTATTTAATAAACAATAAATGACATCTATTTTATTTTGCAAAATAAAACATTATTTACTTATCTTTCCACAATAATTCAAAATTAAATATCGTGCTTATTTATGTATTGCAAAAAGAAAAGCTTTGTGATCTTTCAACTTACACAAAACACATAGTACGTGTCATTAGGCATACATATTTCAAAATAGGAAAAATAGAGAGTATTACCTAATATCACATAAACTGTTAAACCATATGACATGTCCTTAATAGGTAGATTTGTTCATTATAAATGAAGCAGTCTATGGAAATAATTAGAAACAGATTCACAGTACCAGTGTGTGCGGCGTACTGACCAAAGTCAGAGATGAATAGTCACACTTGCTAGTAACAAGAACAGAAAACAGAAAGTTCTATCGCAGAATGTCTGGGTTGTAGAATATCTTGGTTGAGAATTAGAGATGTAATATAGATTTCAGAAGGCAACAACATATAAATAGACATAATAGCCTGGTGAATTGCAGGACAGAACAGAGAGAAGATGCGAGTTGCTGCTCTAGTTAGTACGTCCCTCAGGACAGTCATCAGCAAGGTTGTAGCTCAGGATGAACGGGAGATTAGGAGGGGATAACAGAAGCCACTTCCTAATGGGAGGATTACAGCCAGTACAGACCTTTTTGTCAATGTTTACACATTTACTTGGGACAGGTTATTTATTCGATGTGTTATTTTATACTCTGACAAAGAAAAGCCTTTTTAATGGAAATTGAACATTACATTTAGAGGATGAGAACCCATAATATTGGTATTTCCTCTTAATAGGGCCAAAGAAATAAGAAATTTGGAAAAGCTTCTTTTTCACTGATTTTTTTTCTTCTTTTGTCCTGACTCCTACTGTAAAACTGCAAATGCCAGGCTTGGGTTGAAGCTTGGCGGTAAAGGGTAGGCTTTGCAAGAGCAGGGCCTTGCACGCAATAACTAGCACCAAACCAAACCAAACCCCAGTGCTGTTGTTGCATAGGGAACATAGTTCCTCTTCAAGAACTATTCAGAACACTTGAACAGTTTAAGTATCTGGTCAGAAAGGATAAGTTTTACCACCCATATAAGCTCAGTGAGGTATAAGATTCCAATTTAAGCCAAAACCCAAGAATTTTCATTTAGTTTTCATCAAACATTAATTGAAAACTAAATTATGTACCAGCATTATGCCAGGTACTACCATGGTAGGCAAAATTATACTCATTTATTTTAATCAAACAAACCCACCTGCAATTTAGTCCTCTGTGTAGATCTCAGAATCCTTAGGTCAATTAGAAACAATAATTTCTAGAAAAAAGAACCATGCTGAAAATTACCTAGCATGTGCTTCCCTGGCAGGAACATATCATGATGCTTTACCTCTGCTAATACTCTGCTTCAGATATTGCATGTCACAGAAAGTGCACCAAAGGGAAAAAGAAGGAGCTTGAAGATGGCCTCAAGCAAGGAAACAACAGACAGTGATCAGCTCCTCTCACCTGTTGATGAGATAGTCCCAGTTGAGCTGGATCCACGTCCAGGCCATGTTCTTCCCATAACTGTTATATGAGATATAGCGGATGACTGTAAACACATCCTGACTCTTAATGACGTTCGGGTCCTTGAGCAGATCCAGATACCTAACGTGAGGAAAACAGAAAAACAACTCAAAATTAATTCTAAATGTTCAGCGGTAGCTAAATGCCAGTCCAACATAGCTTTCATTCCAACCATTTAATTCTTGAGGCATAAAATGACAAAGTGAATTATATGTGATAAATGATGAAAGATGATTTCAAATTTTGTAATATAGTCAATTGTCTTTAAAAATTAACCTGTGATTTGGAGGACTGGTAAAGGATTAACTATAGGAACATTAAAAATTAAATTAATTTAGATATATTAAACAATTTTAAAATACTGAATTTCAATGATTTTTTCAATCGGGCTTTTCAAAATAAAAGCACTTTATTCAATTATTTGTCATCCTACTGGATTAAAATATTGGAAATTAAGGAAGAGTAGTAGCACTCTTATTTGGAATAGTATAACACTTAAACTTTATTGCTCTTCCCTACATTGTAAAAAACAACCTAATATAATCTATGTGTTTAAATTAGTTCGCTATTATTATAACATAATGCAATTTGAACCAAGATAAGTTAAGTAACTAAATAGGTAGTTGCTATTGAATCTGTATCCTGGTTGTATCGAGAGTTGCATTTCTAGCCCAAATCCCTAAGGAAGTGCACACTGTTCTTAGAAAAATGTTCCTAAGTAGCATTGGTAAACTATTTATTTGTTATGAGATGAGTAGCTCAGAGTGGATATCTGTTGCTGATAAATCAGGTAGATTTTTGTATTGTAGTCTTGTGATGTCAACCGGATTGGCGTGGATCTCTGCTACCCTTAGGGAGATGAGATGATAGTTACAGTAAAAAGACCACTGTTCAGCTTGAGGTATGAGATAGCTCTGGGAGGCTGCCTTCATGAAAGATAAAAGATCTCTCCACATTTCCCTTTTTTTATTAATACATCAAGAGCCAAGTTAACATACTTGACTAGAGAAATTTATCCCAAGAAAAACTGGAAAAAACTCAAGCTTGAAGGGCAGCCCATGCTACATGGGAAACTGGAAATCACCACTCCATCTGGGTCTGAGAGAAAAACCTTCTGTTCAGCATCCACTTTTACACCTCATTCACCATGGTATGGAAAAGAGATGGTAGATACCAAGCAAGATGAGCTCAAGATATTAATGGACGTAAAGTGAGACTCTTAGTTTCTTTGGGGACTTAGATGGGTGTTGAGTCCACTGATATAGTGTAGGGTGCTGAAAAGACTTCTGGGAAGACAAAAATGCACCCATAGCAGAGGTATTTCATAAGTAAGAGAAAATGACCAGGACCACAATTCTCATCTCTGCCACATACCATTCCAGCAGGTAAAATATGACCAAGAAGGACCCAGTGGAATCTGATTCAGTACAAAACCAGTTAAAGTACCTAAAGGCAATATTAGTAAGGATACAAGTTTTTCCATTACTACAAGATGACTTATAGAAGAATTGTAGGGAAGGAAAGAGACTGTAGAGGACTGGACATTTATCCCACAAGACTATTTAAACTACATTTCTAACTTAACAACTGATTTAAAAACTGGAAGTTTTTCAATTTAAAGGCTGCAAGACAAAGCTGTTATCAGTTGTCTCCCATCTTAGTGGCTCATCACTCAACAGTGGGGGAACTCTAGGGAATAAGACCAGGAGGTAAAGATACTGCCTTTTTTGTTTTTGCATTTAAGCAAGTAAACCTACACTGATATGAAACTCTGCATATTTATCATACATTTCAGATTAAATAGGAATGCTACAGAAGTTTTTACTGCAGCCTGGTCTTACTGCAGAGCTTTCTTTTGCTCTGGCCATGACCTGAAATTGAAAGTAAATGGTAACACACTCAAATGTGGACATATTGCCTCAGATTTTTAGAAAGGCTTACTATTTCCCTGAAAATAAATTTTTCATGGTAGTCATGCAAGGCAAACAGCTTGCCTTTCCTTTTGGAGTAACTTATTCAAAGCTTCCAGAAACTGTGCTGAAGTTGTGGGCTTCTGAATTTTTGTGAATTCTATTACCTATTCCCTAGTCTCCAAGATACTTACTAAAGCATCAAAAGAACTTTCTAATTTCCCTACCAGATACAATTAGTGCAGTACTAAAAGCTACTGAATCAGTGTAATGTTTCAATGGATGTGAAGATACTCCAATTCCTTTTACCTAAATTAATTTTTACTGATATATGCATAAAAACATAAAGTCACAAATATTAATAAAGTACCCTGTGATGTGAAGATGTTCACACTCTTGATGGACTATGTAGTGACAGCAAGCAGACTGGATACAGCCCTGAGTTAAGGCAGGAAGAGGTATTGCTGCCACAGAAGTAAATGCTTCTGATAGTCCTCTGAAATTGGCATTGTAATTTAATATTTAAATTTTGTCTCTTAAGGTTATAAATTTCTCAAGGACAGATGTCATATTTTTAATCATTTTTATTCCATACGTAGATATGCAATGAATACATATAGCAAAGAGGGAAGGGGGAGAGAAAGGGCATCATAAGTGTTGGTTAAATGAAGTGAATACCTCAGACACAGAAGCTGGCTAATCTGGCGCACAGGCATAGAGCAGGAAAAGACCCATAGGTGGGTGTCCAGGTTCTCTGTAGAATGCAAATGTGCATGTATGTGTGCATATGTGTATGCATGGATGGCAGACACTCCTCTTTTCTACTGATGGAGCTCAATTTTCTTCTAGGGTCATTAGCTAGCCCTAGTTTTACAGGGAGGTAAGCTCCTACCTCAGCCCTAGAGAATCGCAATTGGCCAAAATTGGTCAAAAGAATTCAAGTTTATCTCGGCAAATGCTCAAGTGGAAGACCTGTAGTCTGACTTGGAATGATCCAGTGTGACTCAGCTCTAGATTGTAGAGAAAGAGAGGACACATATCCTCTTGGCATAAAAGACAGAACTCGAAAGAAGGAACTCTGCTTCTGTTCTTTCTCCTCTGGACATCTTTGTGCGAAGACAACATGTCCGGAGCTTTGGAAGTGAAGAAACATCCAACACACTGAGCATGGAAGGACAGAAAGAGAAATAGCCTGCGTCTTGGATGGAAATGTTGATCCATTGCACATAACTGGAAACTACCTACTTCCAGAATTTTTTACATGAGATTATATATATATATATATATATATATATATATTTTTTTTTTTTTTTTTTGGGGGGGGGGGACAAGGGATCAAACTCACAACCTTGCCCTTGCCAGGTAGGCACTTATGCTGCTGAGCTATCTCCTTGGTCCTTATTGCTTTAGGCCAATCCTATCCAGATGTTTTGTTTCTTACAGGAAAAATTATTCTTGATGAATATTTTGAAAATGACATCATACTTTATTAATCAGACTGTTAAAGAGATTGTGACATATAAACTATTAAATACAATTCATATCAGTAAGATAAAACCCGACTTGGATTGGGAGTGCATCAAAGTGATTGAACACTAGCATGTTTAAAGCCCTGAGTTTAAGCCTGAAGACCACAAAACCAAAAACAAGCAAACAAAAGAGCCCCACCGATTTACCTTGCCAAAAGAGGAACACTCTTCACTGATGCTAATCCATAAAGCAGTTTTTCTTTTTCTTGAGCTAGTGAAGTCTTCTGGTATTGTTCTAGAGTATAGTTCCACGATGCCTCATTGCCAGAGTTCTGCATGCCATACCGATAAACCAGAAGCCTGAGATTTACAGGAATGCTGGAAGAAGGCAGTGTTTCAGAGATTTCATTTATTTCTCAGTTTCAAGTCTGCTATCAGTGATTAAAAAGTGGGTAGTTACCTTATAGCTCCATCTACCCAGTTTTTAAACAATGAAGAAGCATTGTTCAAGGCGTCCTTATCACCCATCTTGCAGGCAAAGGTTAACACAGAAGCCCGGAGCAGCCTTTAAAGAGCAAACAAACACAAAGCCAGAGCCTTAGGCATTTTCTACATGTCCTAACACAAACCAACAAGTGTTAAATGAATGGTAGCTTTAAAAAGATGAAAAATAACTTTGTGAGGTGGTCACCAGTGTCTTCCCATCCGAGAGAATCTGCAATGGGCTTCACTTGACTTTGGAAGTATTCCTGAAATAAAAGCACCACATACCATGAGTCATAATTTACTGTTTACGAACAGTCTGAATAATTGACAGCCCCCCATGTGGTCATCTTTTTCCTACTAGCTCAGAGAATTTTGAACTTAATTTAGAAAGGAATGTAGGGCCAGGGAGATAGCTCTGTAAAGCAAGGTTCTGAATTTAATCCTTTGTACCACCGAGAGAGAGAGAGAGCGAGAGCGAGAG